TAGAGGAGGAGGGAGTGAGAAGAAGAAATGTTAGTGTTTGTGCGTGGAACATTGCGGGAGTGCTAAATAAAGACAGTGAAGTGTGGAAGTATTTAAGTGAATTCGATGTGATAATGTTAGTAGAGACATGGTTGGAAAAGGACAAGTGGACTAATGTAGAAAGTGAGTTGCCAAAAAGCTATGAGTGGAAGTGTATAGCAGCGACTAGAGAGCATAAAAAAGGTAGAGCGAAAGGAGGAGTAATATTAGGAATAAGCAAAAAATTGGAGAGTAGAAATCATGAAGTATGGAGCGATAATATAGTAATGCAAGAGATTAAACACGGAAATCAGAAGTGGAAGATCATAGAGTATATGGTCAAAATGTTGCAGAGACGATGGAAATTATAAAGGAAAAAGTAAAAACGAAAGAAAGTGGATGTGTACTTATACTAGGAGATTGAAATGCAAGAACTGGGAGAGAAGGAGGTTGGATTAATAAAAGTGATAGTGAGAGTGATAGTGACGAGAAGGACGTAAGGTTAAGAAAGTCGAAAGACGAAAAGATCAACGAGGAAGGTAGAAGACTAATAAAAGAAATAACAGAAGAAGTATGGTGTATAGTAAATGGGCAAAAAGAAGAAGAAGGAGAATTCACATACGTTGGTAGCAGAGGAGAGTGGATAACATACAAAATGACAATATTTTTTAAAAATCTTATAAAATAATGTGAGCATATACAAATTCACAGCAAGTTTTAAATAACAATGAACAACAACCAGAATTACAATTATTGTTTTCGTTAAAGTCAAGTCAACATTAACTTGGATAAAATTTTCGGAGAGTAAATTAAGTTGCTACTATTTTTTCTACGACGGCTGACGGTGAAATTCCTGATTTATATGTTACCGTGACAAAGAAAAGTACGGAAAATTTACAATATGTAAATCATATAGACCCTTATGTTCAAACTTGATTTATCCATTGTTTTATTCGTATGGCACCCAAGTATGGTATCGAAATATGATGTGAAATAATGATTCACAGTGACATGTTACACGAATGTCTTATATTCAATATCGAAAGGCTATAAGATCCGAAAAATTTAATCCTTTTTTCATGGGTCGCAGGTTGTTTCAACAGTGATTGGTTGATAGTGATTTAAAATTAAAAAAGATAGAATACAATCCTAAAAACAAAATCATATAAAGATAAAAGAGGATGCTTATAAAGGTATACATGAATACTTGGAAATTCCTGCAGACGATATAAATTCGACCTTCGACGTTCATTGTCAATTTACTACCTGGTCAACAAACTGCTGATAGACAAGATTTAGTAGCACGCGTAGTTTATTTAAAAAAGGATGGCTTACGTATTCTCGTTGTAAAAAAAATTATTTCGAGAAAGGGGCTGCTTATGTTTACGTTATTGAATTGAAAAAACGAGGGTTCCCTTTTATGCATTTTTTAATTAAGTTAGAACGTAGCTACAGATTTACTACACCAAATATTGTTAATGAATTCAAATCAGCTAAATTTTCTGACCAAGCACTAAGTCTCAATTTGCATGACATTATGATGAAAAATACGATACACAGACCTTGTGCTGATTGGTCCATGAAAGATAATAAATGAACGAAAAAACGTATAAAACAATATTATGAGAAAACGGCTATAGATGAACACGGATATCCTTAATATCGCAGAAGAAACACTGGTAAAACTTATGAATGTCTTGGTGGTTATGAAGTAAACAATGTATGGATAGTTCCATGCTATCCAGAATTGTTAGAATTATTTAATTGTGATATAAACGTAGAAGCTATTTCAAGTATTTTAGTTGTGAAACATCTGTACAAATATATATACAAAAGACATAATACTGATACAGTAACAATAAGAGAAGTAGAAGAAAATACATTCACTACATTGGACTAACTCACTACATTGGACTTGTAGAAGCGTGATATGGTATATTAAGTTAACCATTATAAGGTAAAAGTCACGCTATTACTAGATTGTCTCTACATTTGCCAAATGAGCAATAGGTTATTAGCTCAAAAAATGTAGAAGATTCAGTTATAATGAATAATTTTAATAATTTAAGCAGTACGCTTCTTGATTGTTTTAAATTAAACGTTGGAAAATGTAAATGCGCAACATTTATATATATGCGCAATATTTTTTTACTCTGAAATAGCAACTCATTTCATATACAAAAAAAAAAATAATGAAGTGGTGATGTCAATGCTCTTTTCTGGAATAGTCAAAATGATACATTACGTTACTAGGGAACAAAGTGCAATTTTGCGCGCAAGGGCACTCTTTGCGCTCAGTAAATCACTTGGAGCCCTATGGCAGAAAAGTACATTGGGCCTGGGAGGCATTTCAGCATTTGGACTGAAAGTGGTTACAAGAGCGCAAAGTGTGGCCCAAGGGCGCAAAGCGGCAGTTGCACTTTGTACCTATGGTAAGAAAACAACGATTTAATTGCATCGATTGCATGTTTTCTATAATTCCAACTCCTGTAGAATCTTTTCACTTAAGGTTATTATTGCTACATGTTCAAGGTTTGAGAAGTTTTGATGACTTAAAAATGGTTTATTATATTTTACAACCTCTTCACAGCTGCAGTCTTAGCTTTCGGGCTCATTTATAACGATAATAAATTGATTAAAGCAATTAATGAAGATGCGCTATGGGTGGTGTCACAAAGAGTTCGACTTTTATTTGTTCACATATTGATACATAATAGTTCCGTTGTGCATGCGAGAGAGTGCGGACGTGTCGAAAGAGCGCTCCGTAGAAAAGAGTAATAAAAAGTAATTAAAGTAAAAATAAAAGAAATAAAAAGTACGAAGAAGTGTAAAAAGTAAAGAAGCAGCAGAGAAAAAAGTGTAAAGTGAATAATTATAAAAGTTTGAAAGGATGAAGTGAGATGAGTGTGGTAGTGTCAGGGTAAAGAGAATGGAACACGTGTAAGGAAAGTAAGGAGTGGGTAGTAAATATAAGGGATAATGAAGAAAGGTATTAGTGAGCGGAAAATCGAGAGACAAGAGGACAGGAAAACAGTGTTAAAGTGGTGATAGTCAAAGAAAAAGTGCAATGAAGTTCAAAAGAAAGTGAGGTTAGAAAAGTTATTATAGGAAGAAAGAAGAGGCAATTGGAGAAAGAGGTCGATAAAAGGGGTCATCTGAGAGGCAGATAAGAAAGGACCCTAAAAAAGCAACATTTAGGTTGGTAAGGAAGATCACTATTTTGTCGAGTAAGGCTGGTAAATATAATTTCTGGTTGATGGAAGTGGGGACGTCGGTAAAGTAGAAAACTTTACCATCGGCAAAATTTAAAAATGGCCGGAAATCTGCCTGCAGCAAGTAAAAATACAAGAAATAATACAAATGCAAAATTAAAGAAACAGACTCTATTGAATTTTACAAAAGGAAATCAAGAGAATAAAGAATTGAACGACAAGATGAGCAGGTTGAAAAGGAAGATGTACAGCATGATTAGTAGTCTAGAAAGAAGACAAGAAGATTGGTAAGAGGAAAAACAGATGTGGATAGAAGAAAAGCAACAGTGGATAGAAGAAAAGAAGGCGTTAGAAGAAAGAATAAGCAAGTTGGAATGGGAAACAGAAAAAGCTGGGAGAGAGAAAAGGAGACCGAACATTGTTATAAAAGGAGCAAGTATTGAAGGAGAGAATCTGGAGAAGAAGGTCGAAGAATACATTGAACAAAAGATAAAAGTAAAAGTCAAGATAGAGAAGGCTAAAGAGATAAGTGTAAATGCTGGGCAAAATGTGAGGAAGTTAGTGGTAGTAAGGCTGGCAAGTAAAGAAATGAAAGAAGAAGTAACGAGAAATAAAAAACATCTGGAGAAAGGAGTTTACATAGAAAGCGATCTAACAGAGAGAGAAAGAGAGATCCAAAGAATTATTTTAAACAAGTCAAAAGAGCAGAGGAACAAAGGAAAAAATACAAAAGTTGGATATATGAAGATTTTGATCGATTGCAAATGGCTTAAATTTGATGAAAGAAAAGCAGATATTACAGAGGAAAGAAGAAGGAGCCAAGAATGAGGAGATTAAGAAGATGTAGCGGAGGAGGGAGTGAGAAGAAGAAATGTTAGTGTTTGTGCGTGGAACATTGCGGAAGTGCTAAATAAGGACAGTGAAGTGTGGAAGCATTTAAGTGAATTTGATGTGATAATGTTGGTAGAGACATGGTTGAAACAGGACAAGTGGGCTTATGCAGAAAGTGAGTTGTCAAAAAATTATGAGTGGAAGTGTATAGCAGCGACTAGAGAGCATAAAAAAGGTAGAGCGAAAGGAGGAGTAATATTAGGAATAAGCAAAAAATTGGAGAGTAGAAATCATGAAGTATGGAGCGATAATATAGTAATGCAAGAGATTAAACACGGAAATCAGAAGTGGAAGATCATAGAGTATATGGTCAAAATGTTGCAGAGACGATGGAAATTATAAAGGAAAAAGTAAAAACGAAAGAAAGTGGATGTGTACTTATACTAGGAGATTGAAATGCAAGAACTGGGAGAGAAGGAGGTTGGATTAATAAAAGTGATAGTGAGAGTGATAGTGACGAGAAGGACGTAAGGTTAAGAAAGTCGAAAGACGAAAAGATCAACGAGGAAGGTAGAAGACTAATAAAAGAAATAACAGAAGAAGTATGGTGTATAGTAAATGGGCAAAAAGAAGAAGAAGGAGAATTCACATACGTTGGTAGCAGAGGAGAGTCGGTAATAGATTACGCAATAGTATGTCAAGAAGCGTTCGATCAGATTAAGGAAATGAAGATAGGACAAAGAACGGAATCAGATCATATGCCGTTAGAAGTATACCTAGAAAAGGAAGTAGAGGTAGGAATAGTAGAGAAAGAAGAAAGAATGGAGGCAAGGAGGGATTGGACTCAATAATTGATTGATCAGTATGGAGAAAGGTGTAAAGACTGGGAGCGGAAGGGAAAAGAGGTTGAAGAAAGATGGAGTGAGTTGAAAGAAAAAATAGAAAGTGCAGTACCTAAGGTGCAAAAAGAGTGTAAAGTGTGGAAGATGAGGGATAAAAAATGGCACGATAAAGAATGGAAGGAGAAGAAGGATTTAAGAAGAATAATGAAAAGGTGGAGAAAAAAGAAAATAGAAAGAAGTTATTACATAGATAAAAAAAGAGAGTATAGAAACTGGTGTGAGGCAAAAAGGAAAAGGTTTGAAAGATTAGAAGAAGAAGAGATAAAAAATGCAACATCGGAAGGCGAAGTGTGAAAATGTATAAACAAGTACAGGAAAAAACGAAAAAGAGAAATATCTAAAAAGTTCACAGTAGAAGAGTGGAGAAGGTACTTTATGGAAAAGTTAGATGGGAAGAATGAAGAATAAATTGTGAGGGAAGAGGCAAGAAAGGATGAGGCAAGAACAAATGCAGTGGATCAGGAAGAAATGAGCAAGGAAGAGTTCGAGAGGCAGATAGCCAGATTAAAAGTAGGAAAAGCACCAGGAGAAGACAAGTTGGAAAATGAAGTGTGGAAGTACATGCCGGGAAAAGTGGATGCAGCTCTGTGGGAATTGCTGAAAAAAGTATGGAAAAAAGAAGAATTACCGGATCAGTGGAGGCAAGGTACGATTTGTTTGATTCACAAAAAAGGTGATAAAGATATGTTGGAAAATTATAGAGGAGTGACATTGATATGAATAGCATATAAGATTTATGCGAGTATGTTAAATGAGATGTTAAAAAAGGAAATCGAAGGTAAATTATCAGAAAGCCAGTTTGGTTTTAGAGAAAAGAAAGGAGTAATAGAAGCTATATGTACATTGAAACAAATTGTTGAGGAAAAATTATGCAAAGAAAGAGAAAAATTATTTACATGTTTTATTGATTTAAAGGAAGCATTTGATCGAGTGGATAGGAAAGTTTTAAAGGAAAGATTAATAGAAATGGAAGTGAGTGAAAAGCTAAGAAATAGGATTATGGATATTTCTAAAGAAACGAAACATGTAGTTGAAGTTGGAGAAGAGGAATCCAAGGAATTTTGGACAGAAAAAGGTGTGAGGCAAGGCTGCCCACTGAGCCCGACACTGTTTAACGTGTACTTAGTGGATCTGGAGCAGGAATTAAAGAAAGGGCAGGTGGGAGGATGCAGAGTTGGTAATGAAAAAGTATGGAGTCTATCTTACGCGGATGATATAGTATTAATAGCAGATAGAGAAGAAGAACTGAAAGAAATGTTAATAAAATTCAAAAGTACCTAAAAAAAAAGAAGATGATTTTAAGTGAGAAAAAAACGAAAATTTTAGTGTTCGAAAAAAGAAAGAGGAATGATAGAAGGTGGAAGTGGAGGAGTAAGGAATTAGAAGAAGTAAAAGAAATAAGATATTTAGGATATATACTACAGAAAAATGAGAGAAACGATAGGCATATAGAAGAAAGGAAAAGGAAAGCAGTGATAGCTATGAAAAATACATGGAGCATAGGAGAAAGAATATTTAAGAATAGCTATAAAAGAAGAAGAAAATTATTTACAGCCCTGGTAGAAAATATAGCGCTATTTGGTGCGGAAGTGTGGGACTGGGAAGAAGAAGAAAGTCTAGAAAGTGTACAGAGAAGATATATGAAATGGATTTTAGGTTTAGACAGCAATACACCAAATTATATAGTGGAGAAGGAGTGTGGATTAGAAAGGATGAGTATGAAAGCGTTAAGGAGAGCGTTGAAGTTTGAAGAGAAAATTAGGGAGTCAGACATAAAATTAGTAAAAGAATGCATAAGAGAAAAGGACAAGGACAAGGAAAGAGAGAGAATAGGAAAGGACTCAAAAAAGAGAGCTGAATTACTACGGGAAGAGAAAGTAAAAGAAACAAGATTTATGAAAGGAATAGAATTTAGGGAGGAAGTGAGAGAAAAAATATTAATGAACAAGGAAAGAAAAGAAAGAGAGAGGAGAATGGGAAAGATAAAGAATTCACGGTACAACAGAATATATAAAAGTATAAGAACAGAAGCTGAACCAGAATACTTGAAAAAGGATATGCCATTAAAGGATAGAAAGTTAGTAGTAAGGTTTAGATGCGGAAATGAATGTAGAAGTAGAGAATACTGGAAAGGAGAGGAGGATAAGAAGTTTAGATTATGCAAGGAGGAGGAAGAAGATCTTAGCACATACTAAAGATTTGCGGAGATACGAGAAATGAAGAAGAAATGGAAAAAATACTAAGCCATGATGCAAAAGAGATAGAAGTGCTAAGAAAAGTAATCAGAAAAAGGAAGGAGTCAGAAAAGATCTAAAAGATAAAAGAAAGTATGCAGAAAGTTAAGGTAGTAAAGAGAGAAGAAGGATTAGTAGGACAAGAAAGAAGAGAGAAAAAGAAATGCAAGGAAGAATGAAGAATACAAGAAAATATATGGACAATTTAGAGAGAAGAGTTGTGAATTTTTGAAATTTTGATAGTTAAGTAGTATTAGGAAATTTGTTTATTGAGTTAAATATGGGAAATTTTGATAACTTTGATAAATTAAGTTGGAAATTTTCGAATTTTTGATAGACATGTGTTAAATTTAAAATTTTGAGAATTGAGTTTTGTATATTTGGAATTGTAGTAATATTAATTTTCTTATTTCTATATTATTTTAACAAAAGACAAAAGTAAAATATTAAGAATAGTGAATTAAAAATGAATATATTATATAGCGTAGATTAAGTATGTATTAAATGTGAAAAATGTTACGGAACCCCTCCAAACCCGTAAGGGACGGAGTATGTAATAAATAAAAAAATAAAAAAAATATTGATACATTGCCAACCTACACATCCTAAACGTTTATGGAAAAAATGTAAAGATGCTATGTCAGAAGATTATTTGCGAATGAATTACAAAGAAAATAGCTAATAAATAGTTTATAGTCAAATTAACAATTTGTCAATTGGAGATGGACAAAGCTTAGCTGATTTTTCGACAATGGAACAATCTGTGGTCGACAATGCGACTTCAAATAATAAAAATGATGTCACAGCTTAACAAGAATCAGAATTAGGACCAGGAGTATCTGGAAAAACATTTGTTTACACAAGATTTTTTAATACTTTACTGTTTTAAAATATTAAAGTATGTTTCGTGGTATTTATTGGAATAGCAGCCATTTTGTTTTCAAATGAAAAAACAGTAAACACAACGTTTGGTTTACCTGTTGCGATGTTTTATGACTTTTTATTAAGAAAAAAAAAACAATCAAAATAAGGTTTATTTTCAAAAGAAGTCAAATTTTTCATTTGGAATGAAGCTCCAATGGTACCGAGATGTGCTTTGGAAATAGTTGATAGAATTATTAGCATAAGAAGTTGAGTTGGTTAAATTTTTGTTCGACGTAGGTGATGGTACTATTAATGATCACAATAATAACGTGATCCAAATTGCTTCATACTAACAAATAATGAGTGTTTAGTAAACCATATTTTCGGCCAACTTATAAGAGAAAATAAATGTAATAAAATTAATAAATGTGCCATATAAAAATGTTATCAGTAGAAAGTATTGAGGTTAATGATATAAACGAATAAGTGACTGAATTATTGGACAAACCTACTGAACATGCGTATGCTAAGATTGACATAACTAATAAATGTGACAATGGCAAATTTGGTTTTGATACTACTATACCTAAACATTTGAATTCTCATAATGCTCCATGCTTATCATCATGTACATTGTGTTTGAGAAGAATAGTATCATAGTGTTTATAACAAATATTAGTATTAATTAAGGTTTATATAATAGAACTCGATTACAAATTGTTGATTTCTCAAACCATTTACTAAAATGTAAAATTTTAACTAGTAACAAACAAAAAAAATATTATTTTTCAAAATCGTATTACTCTTTAAAGTAAGAATAAATACTCATTGACTTTAAAAAAAGACAGTTTTCCGTCAAATTAGCTTTTGCAATAGCTATTAATAAAGTACAAGGGCAAACATTCAATATAAAATGTGTAGATCTTCGTAGACATGTGTTAAATTATGATCAGTCTTATGTCTCTATGTCCAGAGTTCAGTTGTAGGAAATATTAAAAACTTACTGTTGGCATCAGATAGAGTGTACTGTAAAAAATTATGTACATAAAGAATTATATGTGAAGATGAAATGTTATTGACTTTTTTTAATGGAAAAAAACGTGATTCTTATTTGTAATACTTTAATAACTATTTTAAGTTATCTATTAGATAAAGGTATGAATCTGAAGGATTCGTGAGGAATAGAGTTGTCAGAGTAGTATTGAATTGAAGAGGAGATACTTTAATAGAAATCAGCACTTTATTCCTAATCAATCACTAATCATTACAAAACACCCCCTCTTTTCTTCAATTCCTTCAAATTTCAAATCAACTATCATAAGCTTACAAGTAATAAAAATAATCAGTACGCGTTACGAGTGTACAATTCTAGATAGATAAAGTGTCTCGACAAGTAGAGCTAGATACTTACAACACTTGTATCTATCACTGCGCCTAATACTAGTGCTAAGAGCTCGACGATCGAGCACGGACTGACTAGGGGCAATGCTCTCTCGCAGTGAGCCACTGCTCACTTTACATAATAAAAGCCTGATAAGACGCCAAAATACAATGTGTCGCTTTGAGGTTGGCTTATAACCACTAGTAACTAACCATGCTTGGAATAATTTGAATTCAATCAATCTAAAATATCATAAACTCTAAACATTTTCCTTCGCCCTTGCTTCAACGAGGGTGAAGCAATGAAAGAAATCTATAAAGAAGAGTGAAAACAAGTAATTATAAATCTAATAATAAAGCAAAACATGGGATAAACTTAGGGTATTCTATGGACCTTCTTCTATCTCTTAGTTCGTGTGCAACAAGGTTAATTTAGCAATTGGTCTTGACAAAACTGTATTAGCATAACGAACTTGAAATACTTTAACTTTAGAATCTTTACTAGGCATAATCTCAATAACTCTAGCTAGAGGCCAAAGGCTAGGTGAGGAATTTTTAGACTCAACAATAACAAGATCATCCACTTGAAGAGACCTCTGAGGTTTACACCACGTAGATCGTTTTTGTAAAGTAGTCAAGTAATTCTGCGCCCACCAACGCCAAAAACTATGAATCAATTGAGATATAAGCTTCCAACGCTGTATTTAGGGAATTTTAGCTTCAGTAATCATTTTCTGGTAAGATGGAAACAGATTATAAGTTATCTAGGTGGGTTACAGACAAAGGTTTAATGTTTGATGGGTCCTCACTAATGGAAGATATGGGACGAGAGTTCAGACAAACCTCTACTTGACAAAGCAGAGTATTCAACAAAGGTGAGGACCTGAGTACCCACGACTCGTTTAAGATGGTACTTTACTGACGTTACTACAATTTTCCAAACTCCACCAAAGTAAGGAGCGGCAGGAGGACTGAAGTGCCAATGTGTCTTTAAATTTACTAACCTTTTAACCACCATCGGAGACTTGCAAAGTTCAGTCCACCTATAAGTCAGAGCAGTGACCCTGTCGAGCCGTAAATCGTTGAAAGGCTGCAATAAAACCCTCAATACTATAGTCCTCTGCTATCTCCAAACGGACTAGAATTCCTACATGTGAATACAACTACGTAACCTTTAGAGATACCCCTTCTTCTCGTTTTAGATAGTCTGGCGGGAAAAGGACCCGTGCAGTCAACTCCGGTCTTTTGAAAAGCAGGAGCAGGTTGAACGCGAACATTAGGTAAGTCTGCCATGATTTGAGTCAATGGGGGGTCTGAGTAGCGTTTACAAGTCACACACTGAGTAGTGATAGAACGAACGCTCTGATGACCTTGGGTGATCCAAAATTTAAGGCGACATGTACTCAGAGTGAGTTGAAGACCTCCGTGTAGTGTCAGCAAGTGAGCTTGTTCAATGACTAAGCGTGTGAAGTGATCATGGAAAGCTAGCAATAATTGGTGTTTAATTTGAAACTCTAAAAGAGAATTAACCAGACGACCTCAAACTCTCATTAAATTATCTGCAGCAAAGGGCTTTAGAGGCAAGATTGAAGACTTGGGAGGTAATAATCTTAATTCACCATCACTGGCAGATTCAGTGAGCAAACCAAAACTTGCCGTTGAAGCTCTTTGGTTTGAAATTATTGCCAAAGTTAATAATTCCAATTCCTGCTTAAAATGCACTCTTTGATGTGAGTAGACCATTAAAAGTTTAGCATTTTTCAACTCAATTAACGTAGGTAAAACGCCATAACTAGAATTTATAGCCGATAGATTCAAAAATAGCAACTGCGACCCTTTAAAAATCACACGACAATACAATTTATAAAAGAATCTAAGGCAATTAGCCGTTACCGTCAAGAGCTTTCCTAGAGTTGAGTATTTATAATAGAGTTTCTAGGTTTCTTGTGCTAGATTTTAGAGGTGGCTCACGGGTTTAATTTGCACTTTTTGTGGTTTGTAGGACTCGTCCTAGTCAAATATTGGATATTGTGGTTCAAGCAACTGAAAAACAATAGGACCATCTATTCTCGAAGAGTTCTTGGCAAACTGAGAAAGTAAAGCCCCTCTAGGCCACATTAGGTGGATTCAATTTTCCCAAAATGTAGTGCCAAATGGCTGTTGGCACCAGCTGATGGATATTGCTACAGCAATTGGCGACAAAGGTGGGCCATTTAGAAGGATGGGATTTGAGCCAGTACACTGAGAGAAAAATGTAGTACAGTCTACGTAAATGTTCGGTTGATTCTACTACATAAATGTAGTAAGAGGATCGGAGTTACGTTGGCTAACCCTGTGTAGTAGTTTCTACTACATATGTAGTATAAGGAAATTAGCGTTCAGTTAAAAACTATTTAATAGTAAACAGTAGGAATGTTTTTACATGAAATGGAAGATACAAATCCACTCTTTCGTTTGGACCAAAATGTAAACAAAATTTCTTTGCACTTTTACACGGAAGAAAGCGAAAATATGTTGCAAAAATTTATTACCTTAAAAGTGCCCGTCTTTTAAACCGAACATTGATCACGCTTTTAATTTCACATTAAATCAGGCAAATTTGAAAAAGGAAGCTATTGAGCTGTGTTCGAAGAAAATTGATGCAGTTTTTATTTAACAATTTTAACAACTGAAAAATAGTTACCGACAAAACTCATGCAGTAACGTCTCCTCAGCTT